TGGGAGGTGCGTCCATCTCCCGAGTAATCCTCTCCTCCAGGTTTTTCACCGGCTACGGGCACTGTGTGGAAAAGTAGTAGGACGGCGCGGCCAGGACGGAGGTGTGGCTAACGGGCGGCGCACACTGGTGCGCCGCGGCGGGCTACGGCCCCGCCGCGGAGCCACGATGGCAGCGGATTCCTATGGAAAGCCAGCGCCGGGCATTCCTTCCGCCCCCAACCTCCCGGAGCGGGCGCCGGCGCTCTGTGCGCATGCTCGGGCTTCCCGCGGTCCTCGAGGCGCGCTCTGCTGACGGCGGGCCGCGGTCGAAGCCTTCTTGGGCCCAGGTGTTGAGCCAAGTCCCAGATGTCGCTCGGATGTGGATGGAAGGGGAGCGGGAGCTGGACGGCCCTTCGCGTCGGGGAGAAGAGAGCAGTTTTGCCCCCGCCTCATTTTCCCGCGTGCGGGATTCCTGGGACGAAAGCCGGGCGCCCTCTCCATCCCAGTGGCCGGGGTCCCTGGCTAAGCACCCTTGTTCCCCAAACTTCTGCCCTGGACTCCTGCCACTGAACTTTTTTTTTTTTTTGGTCCCCTTACAGAATTAAATTATTTTCTGCCAAAATGAAAAGTCAGGGCTTTTTAAATGACTTTGAGCCTCAAAAATCTTAGAGTATACAGTTAAAAGTTTTTAAGGAACACGTATTATGTTATTGACTGCACTACACAGCTGAATGAAGGACAGGTTACAAAACTGTAGCAGCCTCTTTTGTTAAAAACACACAAACAAAAAGTGAAATACAGGGGTCGTCGGCAGGTGGCGTAGAGGTTAAGGGCACTGGACTCACAGGGTGAACTGCGGTTCAAGTCCCGGTCATGGCAGCTTGCTCTCTCTCTTGCTTGCGCTTTCTGGTCAAAACCAAGAAATAAAGTTAAATTTTTTTAAAGAGAGAAATGTTGGGACCAGCAGATGGTGTAATGGTTATATCACTGAACTCCCCTGTAATCCATCTTGGTTCCAGTCCAGCCCAGCGTGAGTGTGTGCCCAAGATCCCAGGAGGAGAATGAAGAGAAGAGATTGCAGGTCGCCATCTCCCTTCAACCCGTTTCTTCTCCAGCGAGCACAGGTGCCCTAGAGCAAAAATCTCTCCAAAAATAAATACACTTGAGTGTGTGGGAGCAAAGGAATTTCCCTTCTGAGGTTTACTAAAAGAAAAAAAAGAAATCACAGACCATAGGCAGATGAGGGAGAGTAAAAGCATACCGATTTTATATTTATTTGCATGTTCACTTTTCAAAAAAAGAATTATCCAATTTTATATATTATCATTTTTATTTGTAATGTGTTGTGGTGTACATGTGCTCACCAGAGAAAGAGAGAGAAAGAGAAAGCAAGCCACTAGTTCCAGAACTCAAAACTGTGGTCAGCCATGTGGGAGTCAAGTACCTTAACCACCATGCCATCTGCTGGCCCCAAAGAGGCTCCTCTACAAATTCTAGTCAACAACCTTTTGGAATCAGTAAATAATGTCTAGATTTGTTGGTCAATCCTTAGATAAAATGGCCCTCAGACCGCTTCACATGCACATTCAATACACTGTACTTAGAGAATGAGTACTTACTAGAAAATGGGCCTGGAAACTTTGTTATATGAGAGATTTTTTCCTATAGGGCATGTGTGCTCGCCAGAGAGATGGAGAGTGAGAAATCACCCCCCCCCCAGGGGGGATGACCACTCTACAATCCCTTCTCCATTCTCTTCTCAGGATTTTGGCACGCATGCACACATCTGGCATGAGTTTGAAGCTGCCAGGTCTGGGATTTGAACCACGGTCAACTACGTGGGAGTCTAGTGATGTAACCATTATGCCATCTACTGGTCCTAGGCCTGGAAGCTTTTTAGAAGAGTAGTTAAATCTTTTCTCATTCAATCGTATTCCTAGTGTTTATTGAGCAGGCTGCATTTCAGAGTTTCTAAGGGTGTTTTTGGTTATCATAGTGAACAGGGAGGATGTTAGGTGAGGTCCAGTGATGCCGGGCACATTCCTAAACAAAACATATTTGTTCTCTTTCTTAACCAACTTTTGATTCTCTTCCCCCATGCTTACTATATGGATAGAAAGGCTGTTTGCGTTGAGTCCAGTACCTATTCCACCTCACATGTTGCCGTGCTCTAAATGCCTGCATCCCCCTCAAATTCGTCTGTTGAAACTGAATCCCTAGTACTGCGATGTCGGGAGATGGTGTTTCTGGTGATTAAATCATGAGTGTGAAGTCCTCATGAAAAGGATGAGACCTGTGAAAGAGGCCCGAGGGTCCTTGGTAACCTCTTT